TGGATAGAGAATATGTCTTCATCTAATCTTTGTGGATATGTCATGATTGAGTAGCTCATGGGTATTTGATATTGCACAGAGAGTCTCTCCTCGTTCGACCGAGGTTACTTTCTTGTCACTTTCACAGCACTACGAGGCAGCTAAATACAAACGCATCCATTTCTATCCACATGCAGCTTTTGTTTTGGCTCACAATAAAACGGTACAAAGTGGATGCATTTTTGTTAACATCGCTTTATCTTTCTCTAAGAGATCGTCATCTGCATAATCTACAGAAACGATTAAAGTGCCCCTGATTGAGACGGATGGGACGACTGTTTCACTTATTTAAGACAATGTGGTGAACCAGGATTTGCTTGCTAATTTTTTCCCTTCTTCTTCTTTTGTTTTTTTATATCACTCTGGAAAAGATAAAGATTCATTCACAGGCATATCTTTTGTAGCACAGTCATAAGTCACGTGTGAACTCCAACAGACATGTGATCCACATCAACCAATATGCGATGTTCATATGTTGGGCTTGAAATGTTGTGCCAACCATGTTATACAATTCTAATATATGAATTTTATATTTTTCACAATACGAATAATATAATATTTTAGCAATTAGATCGATGGGTTCACTATGTTCTCTCTTCACTTATACATCCATCATAGTTGTTCTTTCACATTCAATGCAAATTTGCACTGTTGATGAGTCTCTCGAGTGGAGAAACACTTACATGAAACAATGATAGCACTATTTTGCTATCCCTAACTAATCACAGTATGTCACACGTGATAACTTTTTCACGTGACAGACTGTGATTGGCCGGAAATAACAAAATAATGTTATCCCTGTTTCATACAAGTTTTTCTATCTTGAGTGACATCTTCTATTAGACTCACTCGCATATGGCTAGGGGCGGAGCCATATTTCAATCCGAAATGGCCGTGCCAGCTCCTGGTCGTTTCAACTGTAAATACAATTCCCTCTCAATAAATGAAAGCTAGTTCCGCCACTACCATTACCTATTTCATAAAAATCAGGATAGAAATCATAGAAAGTAATACTATAGCGTGCCGAAAATAACTTGTGACGTCCAATCTCATGGCTCATAGTCAAACACCGCATAAAATCCGAGAAGAACCCACTGACATAGAATCGAAAGCTTCTGCCATTACATTTACTTCCACTTTTCTCATGGCCGGCGCATTTGATCCTCAAAGGCTCAAAGCTATGGCTAAAATTAAATAGGCCACAACTTTGTGAAGAAGCGTGGCAGAGTTTTGCTGAGATAGGAGAGACGAAATCAAAACAGTTGAAGAATCAAATTCCCACAACTCACAAGGCGTTTTTGGAATTTTCCCAGAAAACAAACAGAAAACCAGATTGCAATTTTGCTCCCGGATATCCAGAATGATGCCCCCATATCCACGTAGATTTGGCCAAACAGTGTGGCAAAGCTGACCCGTCACCTTTGGCCCATCATGCCACTTTTGGAACATACGGCGGATAATGAACCGAGAAATCAATTGCGTTGGTACTACTACTGCCTAACTCATGACCCTATGCCTTACAAAAAAAAAAAAAAAAAAAAAAAAAAAAAAAAAAAAAAAAATATGCCCTACGTCAATTATATTAATAAATATATAATTGGATTTGCTTATATATTATAAATAAATACTTCGGATTTTTCCGCCATGCATTAATTGTTTCATGAATTATCGTATGTTGGAGAAGAAAATTTGTTGTATGACAGAAATTTTCATCCCTGAAATCATCTATTAATGTGTGAAGAGTGTCCAACACAACACCCTTTTGGGTGGTGAGATTTTGTAAAAAGAATTGAATGTGATTGAAGATATGAGTCATATTCAAAGCGAAATAATTATAGTATAAATTATGGGTAAATCTCGCACTATAAGATGTTTATGTTATCAGATAGTTGTTACAAGTGAATTTGAACCACTAATTTTAGTTATAAATATAGACCATTGGATCCCAACTATAAAATATTTATGTTATCAGATAATTATTATTATTTTAATAAGAGCGGCAATATTTTATTGATGATAGGAAAATAACAGGTACAAAACAAACAAGTTATAGCTTAGAGGATTAGGCGAGCCTCTTTACACATACGGGCTTGACTGTCGGACTAACTAAGTATCCTTACTTACCCTCTCAATAAGCAGCAAACCACAAGCAGGAAAAGGAGCCTTACCACTAATAGAGCGCCCTCTCACCCCCACTAAGTTTGTACCTATAAAAACCCTATTTGTTACAATCCTCAAACAAAACATTTGTAAGAAAATCTGGTGGCTCTTCAAACCATATAAAAACAATATCAATATTCCTAGGAAAAGATGTAAATCTATCAACCACTCCATTTGCAGTACGGCAGATGTGTAAAAACTTCCCAATGATCTATGTACCATATAATTGTTACGAATGAATAATTGAACCACTGATTTTAGCTATAAATATGTACCATTGGATTCCTTTTACACACCTATTATAGTTGGGTTGGAGGAGGATTGTAGCCCAAGGTTGGGGTTCAACAACATTGAAAATCCTAATTTAGTGTGGAAAGACATCAACAAAATCATTCACACTCAAACCTAATTTTGTGGTATTGCCTTGTATTATCACCACCATTGTCAACTTTTGTCAATAATGCAGACAATAATAAGGCAATTGCTGCATGTGGTTATCACATTAATTCCAGTGGCTTATTAATAAGCTGCCCCTGACCTTTATTTCCGACAATGTAACTGTAAACCAATTTTCGTTTATTTAGATGTGGTTTCAATTAAGCAGATGGTCACTTGGCAATTAGCATGGTCCAAAAATGTATGTATAATTTTCAGACATTGCTTGATTTTTTTAGGGTCTTGTCTCAATCTCATTTATCTGATGCCACTATTTCTTGCCCATTGACATGAACTACTCTATGCAAGTTGGGTTTATTGGTTGAAAATCTCAACTATTGATTGGTAGTGTCGTCCAGTTTTTGTGGGGCAAAGCCAAATCCACGTAAATAAATATATAGGTGCTCTTGAATTAATGCTCTTTTTAATCGGTTGAATTTATGCTCCTTGAAGATTATGACATGCATAGTATGTGTAATATATTTGTGGTATAATTTAAGAAAAGACGAATTTCTAAGTGTCCTGATCAATTGGGAACCTGACTTTGAAAACCAAAACAAACAAAAAAAACTGAATTTTTTTAGTATAAGCGATAATCTAAGCTATAGGAAAGGAAGTTTCTCAAATACATACAACTAAGATGTCATGGGATTCGAAACTGAAACCTCTAGTCGAACTTAAAACCTGATTATTTTGTTTTGGGGGGTCAAAATGATAAATTAACTATAATTGTTGTGATGCTGCGGCTACATTTAGATGAGGGCTGTATAAATAAGAAATGTATGACATGAATTAGCATATCTTTAGAATGAAAATATGTAATGTAGAGAAAGTGCAAATAGCAGAAACGGTGGTACATTCCTCCGGTGGCTCATGAAACCTACAACCAACAAAGCCATCACAAAACAAAGTTTTAGCAACATATATTATGACTAGTTTCGTAGCAACTGAGCTATATTTTGAATCTAAATTGAGTTATGATTGTGTACGAATGCCATATGATTTCACAATTGCACTGATTTAAGATATTGGGGGAAATTAATATATTGAAGGAGCTTTAGTTGAACCCTATTTATACATGACTGCATGCTAGTAAAGCCATCGTCTCTAATTCTTAAGCGTTGTTTTGGCTTACACTAGCATAAAATGGTCCAAGTATATTTTGATTCTATTTGTCACCTGGTGTATAGAAATTGAGCATCCCTTGTTAATAATTCTTTGACAGAAAATAATGTTGGAAAACAGGGATTAATATCACACGTGTAAGTAACTATGTTATCATATCATCATATATGATTTCAATCTTATCTACCGTGTTTCTACACTAAATGTTATTTATGTTACCGAAAAATTTGTTATTTATGTAGCAAGCTTTTCTTTCTTACGTATGGAAACTAACTGGTTGAGATGTAACCATGATTTAGGATACGGAATATGAGTTGCAGAAGAATTTATAATTTATAATTTAGAGATGAAATTCCTGACTTACTAGAGTTAATTTATGTTTGAAGGTTGTGCGTCATGTATTGATTGGTCCATGAATAATATATATTTGGATAATGTAGAATTATATGTGTTTGGATATGTGCAAATTTTGGCAGGCCTGAGTCTGCCCAACCCAAAAGTCATATCAATATCCTTACCCAACCCAAAATTCATATCAAGATACTTGCCCAGCCCAGAGGAACAAGACAAACACATGAAAAGCCCTAAATAAGAAAGCCCGGCCAGAAGAAAAGAAACACCCAGAGATTTATAGATTGATGGAACTAGAAATCTTGTGAAGGAAGGTTAACTTTAAGTGTTAGTTAAGGCGATAATTTACACAATTGATTGACTCATTCAATTAAAAAAATCACAAAAAAAACTTAGGAAGTTTAGGAGTGTATACTATTTGTAGTTTACTGTGTGTGTTTAGCTAGTGTCAGAATTATGTTCTGAACTTGCCAACCTAAGTTTGATTGGCATGGCAATACTACATAAATATATATTATGTGCAACATTACATAAATATTTGTATATTGTCAGTGTCTGTTACATCATAGAAAAACAGATCCCCAAAATAAAGCAGTGTGTAAAGGTCGGCTTAAGCTCAATGACAAATTGTAAGGGGTTTGCCCTTCGGAATCTTTCACTTTTTGTAAACAATGCCCATGATATCTTCATCAATGAAAACACCTCTTCTTTGCACAGAAGGCATTATAACTAATAAGCTAAAAAATTGATCAAACCTACTTACCATCAGTAGTAGTTTATCAACAACTTGACTATGATTCAATCGTTCTATAAATAAATGCATTTCGGCAGGCAAGCATCCTCTGGTATCTTAAGGGCACGCCAGATCATGGTCTCAACCTCACCAAAGGTCACTCTCTTCTTATTGCCTTTTTTGGTGCAAATTGTGCTGGTTGCCATATAGACAAGGGTCTTGAGTGGTTGTCGGTGATGCTCTCCATCTCGGAGGAGGTGGCGGCATCAACGTCGGTGGGGGTAGCATCGGTTGCTATGCTGGTTTGTTTTGTTTTGTTAAAGTAGTCACCGCGAAACACCATTGTCGCCATGATATATTTGTCGTTTTCGCCCACATACACAAGGATTTGGCTCCAGTTCAGATTTTGGAGTTACATAAATGGAAATTGTTGGATTGTATGGGTTTAGCCGGTATGGCCTTATGACTCTTTTCGATTGTCGGAGAGGATGTGGAGTAGTGATACTGTTTTTTTGTTTGCTTTTGTCTAATAATTCTTAGGAACTTTAGGAGTTTACTGTATTTTGTATTTTAATTTTCGGATTCCAATATGGATTTACCATTTCTACCGTTACACGGTGGATCTGTATTATAAGTTTGAGTACATGTGCTTTTCGTTGCTTAATCAGAGATTTAAGTCTTTTTGATTTAGGTGTAATTCTCTCAACATCAAATAAACATGTTATTACTAGAGATGTTGTACCCATATTCAGTACTATAGCTACTTTGTACTTTGTTATATTTTATCAATAATTATTATCGTTTTTTCTCAAAATATAGATAAAGTTGCTCTTGAATAAATGCTCTAATTTAAGAAAAGTGGAATTTGTAAGTGTCCTCAATTGAATCCCACTTTGAGTTTTAAATAATAAAAAATCTGTAATGTTAAATTACCTATAATTGTTGTTGGTATTCTAATGGTACCAACTTCAAATATCTCCTCTAAATAAGTAAATTAATATCAACATTGCATTTAATTACTTTATTGTGGTGTTGCGGTTACAATTATATGAGGGTCATATAAATAAGAATAGTATGACATGAATTATCACATCTTTAGAATGAAAATATGCAGTTTATGGAAAGAAAAAAAAAAGCCCAACTTTATAGAAGAAAAATGATACATGCAATCACAATCCATCCATTAGCACATAAAAAGTGTAGGGGTTCAAATAGCAGAAACGGTAGTGGTACATTCCATCATTAACATCTGCATAAACTCTGTGGCTCATCATTCAAACGTACAAGTATGAACAATCCCATTTGCCCAGTTGCATCTCGACTATGAACAAAGCCATCTGCACAAACTTTTAGTGACGGATCTTGTGAAGCTTTTAGCGACTGAGCTACCTAGAGTATCCATTGCCATTGCTATCAATTTAAAAAACAAACCCTTTGGATCTAAATAATTAAGTTATGATTCACTACAAATGCCACCATAATTGCACAATTGAATGGATTGAAGATATTGGAGGAAACTAATATATTAAAGGGGGTTCAATTAAACTCAATTTACAGCCAAAGTAGACATTAAGAGTAGTTTTAGTGCGGTGTAAAACCCTGATTCGTGATCAACTTCATCTATAGATGGATTTGATTTTGGGTCAAAGAAAAGCCCATGATCTCAAATTTGAGGATGGGTTGTAGGGGAGAAAAAGCAACAACAAACAAGTAGACAACCAAGAAAATTCTAGGGAAAGAGGAGGATTTTAGGGTTTGAGTTTCCTGGGAGGGGGAGAGAAATGGACTGATGGGGGGTGAGCGTACGAGAGGAAAAAAGGGTGAGAGAAGTGAAATGGCTGAAGTGTAGTGGGGGAGGAGATGTGGAGGAAATCTGGGCCTACATCTAGAAAATCAGGAGAGAGGGGCAAACTAAAACAAACAGAAAAAAAAAGAAAGAAAAGTCACACCGCAGGAGGTTAACTTCATCTATAGATGGATTATGACTCTTCTTCTTTCTCATCTGATTAGCTAATTCATGTATCTTGTTTGGCCTACTTTCCTGTGTGAATTAAAGTTTTACAAATTTATAATTAGTTGTTGCGCTTATACGAGTTTAGGTTGTAGGCGACTATCAAATACAATTGTATTGGACTCATTGTTCTAGAGTCGTAAACCCAATTGAACCGAATGGCCTTTACTGAGTACTGACTGATGGCGGTCGGAAGGGACCAAATGGGAATCGCCACAGACGGACAGCTATTTTGTAGAACACCGACAGCAGGAAGAAGAATATCATATATAAATCTTGGCAGGCCTTAGTCTGGCCAACCCAAAAGTCATATCAATATACTTAGGAGAGAATGTGTGTACTTGGTTATTTTATTTGTTAAAGGATACAACTTGCTCATTTCTTATATAACAAAACTCCAAATGCAGAAGGGCATAAAGTTTTACTGTGTATGGGAGCAAATGTCAGAATTATGAACTCGGCAACCTAAGTTTGATTGGCATTGCAATATTACATAAATATATTATGTGCAATATTACATAAATATTTGTATAGATCCCCAAAATAAAGCAATGTAAAGTGTTAAGGGTCAGCTTAAATCTGCATTGAACCCTCCGAATCGCCGTTCCGTTCAAATTAATCTTCCCCTTCTTCCCTCTCTCTAGAGACAGCTCCAAAGTGTTTTACCAAAATGTCAACAACCAAAGGTACCAAGTCCTTGCAAGGGACACTCTTCTTATAAACATCTCCCAAATGTGAGTCACTTCCTATCCTCCCTCCCAAGAAAACATCAGCCCCTTCACAAGGCTTCCCATTCTCATCCCTTGCCATGCATCCCATGAAACCAATATCCGCCACTTGCACCTGCGCGCAGGTGTTAGGGCACCCGGTCCAATGCATCCTCACCGGTCGGGTCACTGCCACGTGTCTCTCCACCTCCTCAGTCACCTTCAAGGCCCTGGCCTTGGTCTCAATGATGGCTTGTCCACAGAACTGGTTGCCAGTGCAGGCCACCAATCCTCTCATGAGAATTGAAGGTTCAGGTGAAAATCTGTTTTTCAGAAGAGGCTCTTTAAGCAATGCTTCAAGTTTTGAGTTCTCAACATTTGGGATTATTATGTTTTGCTCCACAGTGAGCCGGAGTTCCCCTGTGCCATACTTGTCAGCTACGTGAGCTAGCTCATCCATGTCGTCTGCTTGGAGCCGGCCGACTGGAATGTGAAGTCCCACGTAGCTTAGACCTTCTTGTTTTTGTGGATGGACACCTACGTAGTCTCTCCTTTCCCATTGCTTCTGAACCAGGTCTTCAGAAGATGCTCTCTCCAGCTCTTGGAAAGGCATTCTTTTAGCAACCTCTGCCCTGAATCCTTCTATGCCCTGCATTCATATAATTTTCAACAAACTGTCAGGCAAATACCATCAAGAAGATAACAATTCAATGCTCATTCAAATAATGTAGAACATGTTTTAAATGGTGGTGAAATTTTTTAGAAGCATTTCTCCTTAAGAAGATTGAAACATGACATAATAAATTCAGTAATAACTTTGAAGATCACACAGATTACGGCATATTGAAACTAGATCTGTATAGTTGGGACAATGGTTACTTACTAGTTCATCAATCAACCACATCATTCTCGTCTTCTGTCGGTTCCCTCTGGTGCCAAGGTCTCTATAGGCCTCTAGCACTGCTTTGCAAAGTGGGATCACATCATCTGCGGAGACCCAGGCATCAAGAGGAACTGCCTCTGCGCACCGTTTAGGACTAAAGAAGCCTCCCACAAGCAAATTGAATCCAAATCTTCCGTTCTTTGTTGCAGGCATGTAAGCGAGATCGTTGATGTGGGGATGCTCAAAAAGATCATGAGATCCCACCACACACACATTCCACTTTCTTGGCCTGCTCAGATGAAAACCAAACTTAAGAATCCAAGCAACTCATTCCATTCGTGCTTTGACCCAAAAAAAATTCCATTCATGCTTAATTTTATTAAAGTATTTCTCCTATCTGAACTAACCAAATAATGAAACAGTGCTCCATGTTCAGCAGCTTAAACCATGGCTTTATGAAATTAAACCCCTAATTATGTACAAATAACAGAAAGGTACATCCAACATATGGGGAAGGGAGCTTAAACACTTACAAGTTTGTGACAGTAGGATTGCCAAGTGAATTGGCAGTGATATATTGGGACAACAAGTTTGTGTAAGGTCGTGTATCAACAATCTCTTCGGGGTCGATTCCGGCGAGAGGATTTCCAACTGGGTTTCTCACATTGTCCATGCCACTCTGCAGACTTGTCAAGCCAACCTCAGCGAGACCTCTTAGAATTTCTGGCACATCAGGCAGTACCACTCCCCGGATTTGCCAATTTTGCCTGGTTGTAACATCCGCACAACCATCCTCACCATATTTTCTTATCACACTCGCTAGATATTTTGTTTGTACACTTGTTGTAACTCCATTTGGTAGCTTCAGTCTCATCATAAATCTACCATCTGATCATCATCACCACTAGTATTAATTAACCAATAAGAACATACTAAAAAGTAAATGCCAATATAGAAAGAAAAGTCAAACAATCCAACATGCTATGCTGTTGGACTGTCAATTCGGAAAATTAGTTAAATTCCTGTTCAAATGTCTAATCTTTATTGATAATCTGAAAAGATAAAATATCTAGAATATCTAACAAGAAAACATTACCCTATGTAAGAATATTCAAAGTATGTGCAAAATTTAACAAAGCAAACAAATATAGATCAAATTAACTCACAATGATTCTTTCTTCTGTGGAAAAGGCCAAGCCACTTGAGCCTGACATCGATATCATCCTTACTATCCTTAGACTTCTCAAGCTCCTCAAAAGAAGTCTTGGCAAGCTCTTCAATCCCATTCTCCATGAAAAGCTTCATGGGTTCCTTCTGAATCTTCACCTTCTCCTGAACATTAATCCCTCCTCTAAACTTCTCTTTCAAAACCCAATACCCATCTCTCTCCTCCACTCTAGGCTCCAACCTGGCCGCCTCCACATCCGTGGAAACCGGCGCCAGGGGGGTGGTGGCGGCTGCTAGCCTCGTCTGCTTGCAGCAGGGGAGAGCTGAAGACAGGGGAGGAGAAAGAAACTGAACAGATAGTGATGATGACATGGCTGATCAGAGTATGCTGCTGGTGCGGATGATTGCAAAGAGCTCCAAATTTTGATGGCGTTGTTGAAGTAGGAATTGAAAGAGAGAAGAGGGCTTGCATTTTTGTAGGTGAGCTTAGCGGTGAAGACCTTAGGAGGAGGGAGAGGTTCATTTTCGGTTGTGACGGAGGGGCTTTTGGCTTTTGGCTTTTGGCTGGAGCCAAGGGTCGTCATATTTTGTCTTGGAGAGGAAATGGGGGGACTGGTGACGGTTATATTGTATTCTATATACCGTTGTATATCCCCTTCCTCCAAGGTTTTTATCTTTTGTTTGCCTTTTTTTTTCTTCATGCATTTGGGTTACTGTGGCCCCTATCCACCATGTGCCACGTTTCGGAGATGTGTTTTGCAGACAAGTTGTCCAACTTAATTTTTTATATAGGACTATAAGCTATAGTTAAACTACAAGAGGTACAATAGCTTTGTTCCAACCTCCATGACATCATAATTGTGTCTCCATGACATCATAATTGTGTGTGTGTGAGAAATTATCTTCCCCTATAATTTAGATTATCACTTTGAAAAATAAATTAAATTTTTTTTGTTCTGATCTACGTTCGACCCTTCTGTTTGATTTCTACTTCTTCAACTCTCCATCATCTCGATCTCTCTTTTATTAGCCAAAAAATTAAAAAAACTCAATAATTAAATTTTATTTATTTTTAATAAAATTGACGGAATTGAAATATTTGATCTGATTTGTTGACATCTGCAAATACAGTTACTAAAATCGAAAAAATAAAATTTCTGTGATCAAAGTTAAATTTGATCCCACTCTAGTGATAAAAAAAATGTAATTATCCCTATATTTCACCTCTTTTAACTCACTTTTCGCTGACAACAGACTTGAACTTGATGTTCTGGTTTTTTACTAGACTGTTTTGTTTTTCACCTCGTTTGAGTTATTGAACTCTCGGCCCAGCCCATCAACGCCTCTGAGTCCCAAAAACCTACTCTTGCTGCAAGCGTGACTCTCTCTCCCGCAAGCCTACTCTTGCGACTCTTCCGGCAACTGTTGTTGTTCAGAGCAGCGAAGCCATGTCAACCGTCAAGGAGATCCTTACCCGACGGCCCGTGATGGCCACGATCCGAGTCACAGTCCCGGCCGGTGCGGCCAAACCCAGCCAACAACTGAGCCCTGCTTTGGGTCAATACAGGCTGAACATGATGGCCTTCTGCAAGGACTTCAACGCCCGGACCCAGAAATTCAAACCCGACACGCCCATGGCGGTCACCATCACCGCCTTCAAAGACAACACCTTCGAGTTCACGGTAAAGTCACCGTCTGTCAGCTGGTACCTGAAGAAGGCCACCGGCGTCGAGTCCGGCAGCAGCCGACCCGGACACGTGGTCGCTTCTAAGCTGTCGGTGAGGCATGTGTATGAGATCGCCAAGGTGAAGCAATCTGACCCGTATTGCCAGTACATGCCCTTGGAGTCCATTTGTAAGTCTGTTATTGGAACGGCTAATTCTATGGGGATTAAGATTGTTAAGGATTTGGATTGATTTGGGGGAAATGTCACATTTTGAAACCCTTTTTTTTTTTTGGGTCGAATAAACCCTTAAGTTTGTTCCTCATTTCGAGAAAAAGATTGGATTTTTGTTTGGTTTGAGAGGTTTTGCTTCTCACTTGTACTCTGTTGTAATTGAGTAGCTTTTCAATTTGAATGAGAAATGAAGATGGCTTCACTAGCCTTGTTTTGTTTATGACTTATCTTATTAGTTGGTACTTTCTTACAAGACATAGCTGAAGTTGATTGGTTGAAAAGTTCCACATAGCATTTACTTTGCAAATGTAATGCACCTTGATCTTGCATAATTGGGTTTATTTTTTCTCTCTCTGTTTCTTTATGTCATTCTGAATAAGGTTCTGTCTTTGACTGCTACTTTGAGTGATGAGGTGGGATTAGGCTTGAGCTCTTTACTGATATGGAAACAGATGGAATCAGATTGAAATTTTATTACATTGATTCATTATTAGAGGTTGGTGTTCAGGAGAATGGATTGAGTTCAAATTATGAAATAATGGAGGAGAACAAATGGATTCTATGTATGAGGAAAATTGATTAGATCAAACATTTGAGCTTTTAATGAGAGTTGGAACTTAGAGGATTTTACTAATTTGGGTTTTCTGGGGGGCCGCCCCACAGATACAAGAAGGTTTACAACTAGAGGGTTGGGGAAGAGGAATTCCAGGTCTTCTTGTCAATGATCGTTAAGAAGGGCATGTTCATGACGCCTTTGGCTGATGAATGAGGTGGATTAGTCATGATTACATTTCCATTGCATCAAGATTTGATTACATTTTGGAAATAATGGAGGTGAACAAAATGGGCTGGTGGTTCTAGTTCTTATAAGTGTCTTAGATTGTATGTATGACAATGACAAAATTTGATTTGATGAAGCATTTGAGCTTTTAATAAGAGTTGGAACTTGGAGGATTTTACTAGTTGGGCTTTTCTGAGGAGGGTGTCACCAAGGATACAAGAAGATTTATAGCCAGAGGGTTGGGGAAGGGGTGTTCCAGGTCTTCTTGTCCATGATCGTTTCATCTATGCATTAAATTTTTCCATGAACAAGAAGGGCATGTCCATGACACCTTCGGTCTGATGAATGAAATGATTAGTCATGGTTACTTGTCTGTTGCATCAACATTTGATGTTCATGTTCTGATCATGGATTTTGTGTGCAAACAAAAGTTGGTAGTGAATTGAAACGCCATGGTTGAAAGTATAGAGTTGAAAAAGGTTTATGGACCTCATCAGTCATCACCTCAATACCTAATACAGGCTGTTATGGGCGCCATTTGTTTCTGCAAATGATACAAAATGGAATATTTACTCATTATTTAGGAAGTTGTTGCTTCTGCGTCTGTCTTAAGGAACAGAATGGTTAGAACTTGTCAAGCCAACCTCAGCAAGACCTTTTAGAATTTCCGGCACATCCGGCGGTACCACTCCCCGCAGAACACCACACCAAAAGAGAAAATAGAGTTTAATTGCAACACTAAAACGCCTGAAGCTCAATCATACATGTGTTGCATGGAAAACACTATAAATCAATATCTCAAGTGTTTTGTTAAATTTTTAACATTATCTTCTTGTTCCAAGTCGCCCCTACCAAAAGAAATTTCTGGCTTCAGCATCAAAGACAATTATTTGGCTAATTGGGGTACCAATTCATCGAAGAGTTTTTATATCATCTAGATCAATAAGACCAGTTTATAATTTTTATTCGAACATCATGCATGTCATATTATGGTCACATTTGTACGATGGATATATATAAATGAGAATGATATGATTGTTAACAGAGTTTAGGATGAAGATAAGCCGCTGTGATTTCTTTTAGAGCACCAATAAATTGAGCTACAGATTTCTCATAACTAGAAATGCTTTGCAAATATGGGCTTACCCAAGTTAGCTAGAGCAAATTGCTTCCCACTCTGCAAAAGAAAAAAATGGTTTAAAAATTTATATATATATTTAATTAGATGGAGTTAAGATATTGGGGGAAACTAATAGCATATAATCATTGGTGGTACAATGCATCAACAACACTTCAATGTCCGATTCTGTAGTAGATTGTCCCATTCAGTTCCAAATAATTCTTCTGTAGTAATATTTTCTTCAACTCTATCTTACATCAATATGCAATCTCAATTTTCATCGTGAAATTAGTTTTCTCTACGATAAATAATGTGTGCAGTAACATAATTTAGTTTTCTTTGTTTTCCAAGGTATTGCAAACATGTTTGAGCTCCCACATTGGAACACTAGAGTTTCTTGGAGGTCTTTATAAGACTTACTCTTGGAAATAGAATAGTTTGTATAGGCTATGCAAGTGGCCCAATTGAGTGGCTTGTGGGTATGGCCTTTGGTTAAATGCCTAATTAGTTGGGTAAACGGTTAATTAATATATTTAATTAATCAAAAGATGGGCTTTGGGCCATGGGGCTTTTGGGCTCTGTCATTTATATATATATACATAAATGTACTTACGTATTTTTCAATAATACATTCGTGTTCTATACACGTCTCACGTTTTTTGAAAAGCAAACATACAATAGTCGTATTGTACATGTACGTACATATTTCTAATGTTTTATACACGTAATTTTTACAAAATTTTAAGTAAGACACACAAAATTCACTTATTGAATAAGAATAACATATGTTATAAAAATTATATTAAAATATCATATAGTGGAAGATTAATATCTACTTTGGATATGTTGAAACTAGCAAATAAATATTTATAAGGTACAAACTAATGCAATTAGGAGGGTCCTTTTCGATTTTTTATTTTTTTTATATTGAATAGTATAGCCGTGAGGCTATACTACGATTTTTAGAAAAAATAATTCTTGACACGTGGCGCTAAAAGAGAGAGGGTCTTCTCTTTTTATTAAAAAAATAGTACAGCCGCACGGCTATACTCCTTGTTTACATTTTTTTTTAAAAATGGACCTTGTGTTGACATGTGGCGCCTAATGGATGGGGTTCCTCCGATTTTATATTTAAAAGTAGTATAGCCGCACGGCGAAACTCAGTTTTTATTTTTAAAACAGTATAGCCGCACGGCTGTACTATTTTACGTGGCCTCTGAGCAGTTGCTCTGTTTTTCTTAAGCATATAGTATAGCCGAGTGGCGATACTTGATTTTTTCCTTATTTTTTTTAAAAATAGTGTAGTCGGTGGCTGTACTTTTAAAAAATAATAATAATAATAATTTGTCTTTAATAAATAGTATAGATGAGCGGTTATATTCTTTTATATATATCCAAAAAATACTTTTACACATTTTAAAATTAATATATATTATAAATAATACTAGTCTTACCACATTTTTTATACCACAAGTTTATACCACATGATGTGGCAGTTGATGTGTACATATCACATCATGTAAAATACTAGAATCTGTTTTTCTAATTTTTTTTATTAAAATACACTTCGTTCATTTAATTGATGTGCCATATGATATGGACATGCCACATCATGTGGTATTGAAATGTGAGATAATAATGCGGTAAGTGTAACATTACTTTTGATAACATGGGTAGTTATGTTCCATAAAAGTAGGACCTATTATATGATTTTATTTTTATTTTTATTTTTTTTAAATATTAAAATATGTGAATTTACCATATTATCCTCATTTAATTAATAATTTCAATTCTTAATGTTTGAATTAACCAAGGGCATTTTCTGGCATTTTGAATGTTTCATCATTCTTTGCCTTTTGCTTTATATATATAGATTATGTTTTGATCAATCTTCCAATCGAACCATAGGATCTAAAACAGATCACGCAAAATTGGCACATTCGTCATATAACTACCTAAAAATGTAAAAGGGGATTTTATAATTAAATTGGGTTAAAGAGTTTATATAGTGATATTAATTTTAAAAAAATAATATGTATATATATACATAAACGTACGTACGTATTTTTTAATAATACATCCGTGTTCTATACACGTCTCACTTTTTTGAAAAGCAAACATACAATAGTCGTATTGTACTTGTACGTATGTATTTCTAATGTTTTATACACATAAGTTTTACAAAATTTTCAGTAAGACACACAAAATTCATGTATTATACAAATTTTCAGCCGCACGGCTATATTCCGTGTTTTGAATTTTTTTAGGGTCAAGGCAAATTCCATTCATTAAATATGTAAAAACATTACAACAGTTTGAATGCTGAATAGCATAGGTAGAGGCATAAGACATAGGCCCAAAAGATTACAAAACTGAATTTTAATATAGGCAAGGTTCAAATAACAAGTTGCAGCCGCACCATCCGCAGGAAAGCACCAAATCACCATTGCAAGTTTATAATCTTCCAAATAGATGATTGTATCCCCTTGTTTATTGAATTGAAGTAACTTATAATCTGTCACAGACTCACAGTATGGGCACTATGTGTTGAGAGATAAGTGCTTTGATTGTCCAGATGATTGGAAAATTGTTTTAAGTGTTAGAACTTTGTGCCGGTAGGCTGTATCTCTGGTTGGGTTCTGGAAGATATTACTTGGTAATGGGTAGGTATGCTTGAATTCAGAATTGTAAAGTTAAAGTCCAGAATTGCTTATTAAGTGTCCAAAAATAATCAATTTAATCAATTTTGAACTCTTCAGATGATTTTTTGTCTAGCCCTACAAGAGCCACCTAGGCATCTTCCCTCTAAATCCAATTTTAAAGGAAAACTGTAAGGATCAATTGTACATGAACTATTATACAATTACGCACTTACCCATTCTAACTTACAGTGAACCCTCGTTTTAGGTAAATTTTTCATATTTTTCCACAAGTTAAGGGTTGGGTATGAAGGATAGAAATTGAGTATGGGAACACGTTTGGAGAAATTCCGTGTATGGTGTTTGAAGTAGGGCGGGGATGGTATTCTAATCCCCAACTGCATACAATTTACTTAATTATGAGCTAATAACATTAAGTCGTTTGTGTTAATTCTTTTGTTGAATTTTTTCACATTATTATTTCTAGCTTTATCTCTGAAGACAATTACAATTTATCATCGTCATAGCTTTGTTTTTTTGGTTAATTGGGTGACCAATTCATCGAAAAGCCTTTATATTATCTAGATTAATAAGAACAGTTTCATAATTTTTACTTCACGAGATGTTATCATAGTCACATTTATACGAGGGCTATATATAAACGAGAATGATATGATTGTTAAACATATCTTTAGGTTGAAGGTTATGACTTGTGTTTAGAAAAAAAATTAATATTGTTTTTTTTTTTTTGTTTTTTTGTTTTATTTAGGAAGGAGCCGAAGCTCAGAAACAAAACTGCATAAACAAACTTCTGAGTCTAACAACCCCGCTCAAATCTTACAGTAACTACAAATACATAAAAAAACAAATGTGCAATTACATGAGTTAAGATATTAGGGAAAACTAATGACACATAACCATTCAATAATACTAGATGCACCAACTCCCCACCCTCCCCAACTCCCGCAGCCCCAGCCTCGCCCACCCTCTGGCTTCTCTAAAATTCTTTGCCCTCACACTCACAAAAATCTCAGATAATCTCATCGCATTTGCCATGGCTGAACCGAGCACAACAAGAACCTTTCTGTTGACAATTGTATTCTCCAAGGACTTAATCCGGTAATATTCGGATTTCTCTACACGTGCCAAAAGACTTGGATCATAAGCTCCTTCCCAGCCTTCACTCATGGATCGGCCGTGGCTCACCAGAACCAGCTCCTCTAAACCCACATCCTTAACACACCACGACCGCTTGCTATATAAACTAAATTATAACAACCTGATAATTTCATAATTTCATACATTCGCATGCCCTCTTTACTTAGTGACTTTACTTAGTTTCTCTTTATTTTTAGTCACTTACCTCTCTTTGTTTGTTTTGTAGGTTAAGACAGCAAGAGATCACATTTGATGCAATCCATGCTTGTTAAGGACTGATTGGGATAAGAGGAATATGAGCTTAAAGAGAAACCCAATTTGGGCCACACTCCTTGTCAGTCAAGTTTCGTAGGTCATCTTGCAGGCCTCATTTCAGCAACTTACACAGGTAGGATGAGGAGACATCCCCGATAGAAGTTGTTCCAATGGGTGTCTATTATAACATATCCAAATTTCAGCCCAATTGGATAAATTTGGAGCCCTCAGCACGTCAAAGACTGAACCAAGTTCACAGAAATGTCATGATTGGCTGCCATCACATCTACATCCCTAGAGCTATGTGCTAAACATGGGCAGCCATACATGGGAGTCAAATCAGCTCAGGAACTCAGAAAGATGAACAAAAGTCAAGCTTTCCATAAAGAAACCATACCAAAGCATGTATTTGGCAGCCGGAGCAAGTGGTATGTATGGGTAGAAGGGAGCGGTTGTGGGAGCAGCTAAGAGAGGTGTGCTTCACCAGCCAAAGGGGATGACGAAATTTCTCTCTATAAATAGAGAGCTGCTCACTCATTCAAGGGGAGATAGGCAGACACACACATTCACTTCATCCATTACTCTCATACACACATTCAAATTCACCACAAAGAGAGAAGAGAGCTTGGAGCTGTCTTGGGAATTCCTTGCTGCCATCATCTAGTTCTTCTCCTCTCTTTATCCTATCTATGTATTTCTTATTTTCTGTACTCATAGTTATGTCTAACTAATCCATTTAGTTAGGGCTTAGGATGAAACCCTAGTCATGAATATTCAATGTTATGGATGATTTTATAGTTAATTGATTTCCTTGCTTTCATTATCAAGTTGTTAATCTCCAGTTTATTATGTGCTTGATGTATGTTTTCTTGGAGTAGCTAACTAGGATTTTATGCATCTAGCACAAGTTGGGAAGGAGTTTAGATTCACCAATTCTACTCCTCTTTCACAAGCAACACATGAATGGCCTAAGAATCATTCAAGGGGTTAATGACCATAGGTTGACTAGGACAGATACCATGTTCTAGGACTTGTGTGATTATCATATTCTCAAGGAGCTTAATGACTCTTGTATGCTTTATTCTAAGTAGATACCATGCTTAGGTTGCATATTAGAGATCACGTGTTGTGTAGATACCATGCATAATCACATGCCATAGGAGAATCATGCTTCCTACACCTAGATACCATAGGCTTGTATGCGATAATCTATTGTTGATGAAGCTTGAGTCAATTTCTATGCATTCATAACTTGGATAGGAAGACTAGTGGTAGATTCCAAGGCTCTAACACCTCTCAATCTTTGTTTCACAACTTGTTGATTGCTGCCAGTGTTTACTTTCGAGCACTTTCATTTCATGTTCTTCTTTTCATTTCAACAACAAAACCCCCCATTTCGAGAGTGTGTGTGGTGCTAGGATTCTGTCATAGACCTTGAGTAATTAGCAAGAGGCATTGTTGAATTCGACCTTGCCTTTAGCTAGTTAGTCAGTTTCTTTGTTTTATGTTTTTCTAGCATTCCAAGTAATTTAACTTGGAACCAAGTTACCATTCTCCGTGGGATCGACCTTGTATTTACATAAGCTATACTATAAACGGTTCGTGCACTTGTGAGAATTAAAGTTGTTGTTTTTAATAACTCATTTTAGTTGTTAAGAATAGGCTCAACACAACCCCATTCCAAACAACATTCATTTCACTTGTTTATATAATTTTCTTATTTCACTTTGTTAAGTAATCTCTCTTTGTTGCAACCCAATCTAACCTGACAATTATAATCTTATTGCAATTCATTTTTCATCTCGAAAATTGTCTGTTATATTTTCTTTTTGTTTTAAATTGAACGGAAATGTGTTTTAGAAATATTTTTATATTTGAATGTTACGGAAACATTTGCTTATATCAAATTTCTTTCGTATTTCCTCTACTTTACTCTTGTGTTTTAGGAGGGTTTATTTAATCTTCCCGTACCACATTTCTGAGTCAGATTACTAAATATCAAAACACCTTTCATTGGAAGTGTCGTTGAAATATGTTGCTATTCAGTATTTTGACTCAGAAAGGTGTTGTGGGAACATCGGAAATGTTTTGGTATTTTCTGAGTGATAGTAGTAAGAAACTTTGTTTTAGAGAGAGTTCTTTTTAAGGAGTTTCACTAAAACACCCAAAATGGGGGTTGAAATTATAAAAAAACCCAAGCACTATTTAAACATATAAACACACCCAAAACCCATCATTACACACACTTAAAACCCATTTATAAACACACCCAAAAAGTTGACTTTGGGGTTGATTTTGGGTGTGTTTCTATGTTTCAATAGTGCTTGGGTTTTTTTTTATTAATAAATACATGTTTAGGATTGGGTTTATTTATAAATTTGTATTCTTTTTATCTCCAGAAAACTCAAATTGTTTTGAGATTTGATATTCTGGCTTATTTTTTTGTCTATTTCACAAGATTATTCTTTGTTATCTGTTTTGTGGTTACTGGTGAGGTTGTCTTGACAATTTCATTTGGTGGTTTTAAGTGTCAATTACCCCTGAAGTTTCAAAAAGGACCAACAGAGACGTGATTAAACAACTTGTTCAGCTGTACAAAGTTTCCCACTTGGGAAACAGAACCCTAGCTTATGATGGTATGAAAGACATTTTCACAGCAGGGCCATTGCCATTTGTTTCTAAAGAGTTTGTGGTCAAGTTGGGTGACTGGGATGGTCGTGATGGGTCTTCTGGTTCCAAAATGTATTTTCGAATGAGAGTTTAGTGTGTTGTGTTTGTTTCCTTTTTGGACATTTTATAGTTGCCTGTTCTCTGAATATTTTTATGTTTAAATATAAAAAAACCCAAGCACTATTTAAACATATAAACACACCCAAAACCCATCATTACACACACTCAAAACCCATTTATAAACACACCCAAAAAGTTGACTTTGGGGTTGATTTTGGGTGTGTTTCTATGTTTAAATAGTGCTTGGGTTTTTTTTTTTTATAAATACATGTCTAGGATTGGGTTTATTTATAAATTTGTATTCTTTTTATCTCCAGAAAACTCAAATTGTTTTGAGATTTGATATTCTGGCTTATTTTTTGTCTGTTTCACAAGATTATTCTTTGTTATCTGTTTTGTGGTTACTGGTGAGGTTGTCTTGACAATTTCATTTGGTGGTTTTAGGTGTCAATTACCCCTGAAGTTTCAAAAAGGACCAACAGAGACGTGATTAAACAACTTGTTCAGTTGTACAAAGTTTCCCACTTGGGAAACAGAACCCTAGCTTATGATGGTATGAAAGGCATTTTCACAGCAAGGCCATTGCCATTTGTCTCTAAAGAGTTTGTGGTCAAGTTGGGTGAGAGGGATGGTCGTGATGGGTCTTCTGGTTCCAAAAGGTATTTTCGAATGAGAGTTTAGTGTGTTGTGTTTGTTTCCTTTTTGGACTTTTTATAGTTGCATGTTCTCTGAATATTTTTATGTTTAAATATAAAAAAACCCAAGCACTATTTAAACGTATAAACACACCCAAAACCCATCATTACACACACTCAAAACCCATTTATAAACACACCCAAAAAGTTGACTTTGGGGTTGATTTTGGGTGTGTTTCTATGTTTAAATAGTGCTTGGGTTTTTTTTTTTATAAATACATGTCTAGGATTGGGTTTATTTATAAATTTGTATTCTTTTTATCTCCAGAAAACTCAAATTGTTTTGAGATTTGATATTCTGGCTTATTTTTTTGTCTGTTTCACAAGATTATTCTTTGTTATCTGTTTTGTGGTTACTGGTGAGGTTGTCTTGACAATTTCATTTGGTGGTTTTAGGTGTCAATTACCCCTGAAGTTTCAAAAAGGACCAACAGAGACGTGATTGAACCACTTGTTCAGCTGTACAAAGTTTCCCACTTGGGAAACAGAACCCTAGCTTATGATGGTATGAAAGGCATTTTCACAGCAGGGCCATTGCCATTTGTCTCTAAAGAGTTTGTGGTCAAGTTGGGTGAAATGGATGGTCGTGATGGGTCTTCTGGTTCCAAAAGGTATTTTTGAATGAGAGTTTAGTGTATTGTGTTTGTTTCCTTTTTGGACTTTTTATAGTTGCATGTTCTCTGAATATTTTTATGTTTAAATATAAAAAAACCCAAGCACTATTTAAACGTATAAACACACCCAAAACCCATCATTACACACACTCAAAACCCATTTATAAACACACCCAAAAAGTTGACTTTGGGGTTGATTTTGGGTGTGTTTCTATGTTTAAATAGTGCTTGGGTTTTTTTTTTTTATAAATACATGTCTAGGATTGGGTTTATTTATAAATTTGTATTCTTTTTATCTCCAGAAAACTCAAATTGTTTTGAGATTTGATATTCTGGCTTATTTTTTTGTCTGTTTCACAAGATTATTCTTTGTTATCTGTTTTGTGGTTACTGGTGAGGTTGTCTTGACAATTTCATTTGGTGGTTTTAGGTGTCAATTACCCCTGAAGTTTCAAAAAGGACCAACAGAGACGTGATTGAACCACTTGTTCAGCTGTACAAAGTTTCCCACTTGGGAAACAAACCCTAGCTTATGATGGTATGAAAGGCATTTTCACAGCAGGGCCATTGCCATTTGTCTCTAAAGAGTTTGTGGTCAAGTTGGGTGAGATGGGATGGTCGTGATGGGTCTTCTGGTTCCAAAAGGTATTTTCGAATGAGAGTTTAGTGTATTGTGTTTGTTTCCTTTTGGACTTTTTATAGTTGCATGTTCTCTGAATATTTTTATGTTTAAATATAAAAAAACCCAAGCACTATTTAAACGTATAAACACACCCAAAACCCATCATTACACACACTCAAAACCCATTTATAAACACACCCAAAAAGTTTGACTTTGGGTGTTGATTTTGGTGTGTGTTTCTATGTTTAGAGTGGGGTTTTTTTTTTTTTTTTTTTTTTTTTTTAATACATGTCTAGGATTGGGTTTATTTATAAATTTGTATTCTTTTTATCTCCAGAAAACTCAAATTGTTTTGAGATTTGATATTCTGGCTTATTTTTTGTCTGTTTCACAAGATTATTCTTTGTTATCTGTTTTGTGGTTACTGGTGAGGTTGTCTTGACAATTTCATTTGGTGGTTTTAGGTGTCAATTACCCCTGAAGTTTCAAAAAGGACCAACAGAGACATGATTAAACAACTTGTTCAGCTGTACAAAGTTTCCCACTTGGGAAACAGAACCCTAGCTTATGATGGTATGAAAGGCATTTTCACAGCAGGGCCATTGCCATTTGTCTCTAAAGAGTTTGTGGTCAAGTTGGGTGAGAGGGATGGTCGTGATGGGTCTTCTGGTTCCAAAAGGTATTTTCGAATGAGAGTTTAGTGTGTTGTGTTTGTTTCCTTTTTGGACTTTTTATATTTGCCTGTTCTCTGAATATTTTTATGTTGTGTTTGAATGACTTACAGAAAGGACAGGGAGTTTAAGGTGGTTGTAAAATTGGCCGACAAACCCGACCTTCATCGGTTGCCTCAAGAAGCCATACAAGTTCTTAATGTTGTTCTTAGGGCCGCACCATCTGACAAGTATTATTCTCCGTTTGTTAGAAAGAGCATATGATTTCTTATATCTTTGTGTATAGTATGTTTGTATATAATAACCACACATATGCACTTTTGTTATATTCAAACAAGGCGTATTAGCCAAAAATACATAGGCTTAAAGTAATATATATACTCCTATACATATGCACATATATGTATATATAATATACCTTTTGTATATATGTAGGCATGTGTATACTTCTTATGTAGGTGTGTTTTATATAATAACCCCACATACATTTATATAAGTATACATGCATTTTTATCCCCTAAACCATATGATCAATTTAATAAATCGTTTAGTGGTATTTGATTCAATTTGAGCTAAAAGCATAGGAGAAATCAATCCATAGAACACTAACATAATTCAGTATTCCAAAATAACAAACTGAAATTACCCCATGAACCATGATCAATGAGAAGTGGTGTGCTCTAGTTTGGAAATCTTGTATCCCCTAAACCATGATCAATTTAATAAATCATTTAGTAGTACAATTTGATTCAAGTTGAGTTAAAATCAGAGGAGAATCAAACCATACCAAACTAACATAATTCAACATTCCAAAGTAGTACTAGTCAAAGGAAGCTAGCTACAATTATGACTAGTGAATAGTCTTATAAATTAATATACTCCAATGTTTAGTATATATGAATGTTTAGTATATAGTCATAAAGTAATATATACTCTTATGTTTAGTATACATGTACATTTGAATGTTTAGTATACATGTACATTTGAATATTTGTATGTAGGTACTTAAATATAAAAAAATAATAAATTACGCATATATACAACCTATAAATAAAAAAACAATGCAATGAAAAGTATAAATAATAAAAGATTATTATAAAGTCGGAATTTTTCAGAAAATATCGGAAAAATCGGATCGGAATGGGTTCGGAGAATTTCGGAATTCACAAAGTCATTCCGATTCCGATATGAATTTTATCGGAAATTTTGAAATTTCGGAAGTTTCTGATATCAGAGGTATTGGAGTCGGATTTCTTCGGAAAATTTCGAACCGAAATCGGATTTTCCAATCCAATTTACACCCCTATTTGAGACCTACACTTATTGGATATTAGATCATTTGGTTTATTTCCCTATGTTTGTATGTTTTTAATATCATTTGCCTAGATACTTGACATGTTATAACATTTTTGTAGTGCTGAATATTTATTTATATTGTATGTGAGATTTTAGTTTGTTGCTTTATATAATTATTTAACAATTTAATTATTTCTTTGCACCTTTTGTTTACGAAGCTTTAATTTTCTTTTTCACTCATACTATTCTTTTTGTATTATCTGGTTTTTTTTATTTAGCTTGGCATTGTGGTCGAGATGTGGATGTGAGTGTTGTTGTTGTGAATGAAAAGAAATTATTTTTTTGACAATATCCAATATGATTAATTTCAGTATCTTTCTCTTCTTTCATGTTGGGCATATTGTTGATGTTGAAATTTTTGTGACTCATTTGAAAATCATTAGGTAGAATTTCTTAATTGTAATGATATTATGAGCTTTGACATTGAGTTCATCTTCAACTCATCTTCATCAAAATTGTTGTATTATATTGAAGTTTGGTATAATATTTAGGCGTGCAATTACCAAATTGTAATGGGTTTTTTTGCAGTTGGTGTATGTAACTTAGCATACAATTGGCAACCTTTTTGCATTTTCAGAATGCAATTACTAGCTGACTAGTCTGTTATTGCAATTAGAGTATACACCATTGTATTTGTTGCCTTGCATTTTTGTAATGAAAATGCAGTAGGTACTTTGATATGTCATTTTTTAAGCCAATTAGCAATTGGTTAGTCTGTTTTTACAATTATTGTATGCAGATTGTCATGATATTGGTAGCCTCTTCAATTTTGAGAATGTAAATACGTGGTTTGTCAATGCAATTGACAAACAGGTAATGTTATTTGCATTCCAGTTGTGCTATTAACAAACAAAGCAGTCTCATTTGCATTCCAATCGTCCAATTGCCATTATCTGTGCACAATTAATTCAAAATATAAATACAATATGTGATTTGTCAATACAATTGACAAACAAGTAGTGCCATTTGCATTCCAGTATTGCAGTTGACAATAAAAGTAGTCCAATGCTTTATATGTTTATTATGAAAATACAAAAGAAAATTGAACTATGCAATTGGACAAGTTTATTTTCTAAAATAAATACAAGTTAATTGAAAGTATTAGGTCATATAGATCCACATAAATAAAGGTACAAAACATTGGATTTTCACATATTAACTTTTATTGTTAAGCTCTTTTTTGTTAAGTCAGATCTCACTTTTAAATAACGATGGGAAATTTGTCTCTTGTTTGGCAATTGTCATTGATACTAAAAAAAGAGCGTGTTTTACCATCAATTACCGAATCGATACTCATCAATTGTCAAATTGATACCCATCAATTGCCTATTTTGCTTTCACTCAGCCCCATCAAGTTGGCAATCAATAAATAGACAATACGTAATTGGCATTTCAATTTGCAAAAACCAACTGCTTGATTGGCAATTACGAAACCCATGGTTTTACAAGGTTTGGGAACGTTCATGTCTCAAACGCTATAAGGTGGGTCCGTAATGTTGTAAACCATTATTTTTATAAGAATAAGGAAGAGTTTTTACTTAACGTTTTAATCACGATGCAAAATCGCGAAAAATGCATCCATATCCTTGTAAAAGGGGAATTTACAACATTATGGATTCGGTGAACCAAAATGTTGTAATTCAAGTGCAAAAACTCATAAACCGGTACCAAAATCTTGTAACTTACGTGTTTTTGGATTCTTTACAACGTTGTGGCACCTTTGTATCCAAAATATTGTAATATCAGTCCTTAATCTTGTAAAACCTCATGTAAATCATAATAAATAAATTAAAAATCCAAAAAATACACAAAAAATTCGTATGAACTCCTTATGACATTCTATAATCTCTCATGCTCCAAAAATATAATTTTGACACTTCCAAAAAAAAAAAAAAAAACAAACTCTTGTTTATTTCTAAACAAACCAAAGCACTAGTTAGTGTTCTATGAACTAACACTCTTGTTTCTTTGATCCAATCATTATCATAAACTCAAATACTTGAAATCATGACTTTAGACCTCCATAATCAAAGATAATGTTGTGGGGAGTTTGTAGCATATTTATATTTTTTTGATTTTTCTTAATTTTTTTTTATTTTTTTTATTTTTTATGAATTCTTTAAAAACACACAACAAAAAAAAAAAAAAAAAAAAAAAAAAATAGGAGCAATCGTAGAAGTCATCCGGCGGAAACACTAATGTTGCCCCATTAAGCTGCTGCTACATGTCGCCATATACTATTTAATATTATTTTTTTATTATTTAACTTCTAAAATTCATAATAAATAAATTCAAAAAAATACACCGAAAATTCCTACAAACTCCTTGTGATGTGACATTCTCTACACTCTCATGCTACAAAATATAATTTTGACCCTTAAAAAAATAAAAAATAAAAACTCATCTTTGTTTCTAAACAAACCAAAACAATTGTTAGTGTTCTATGAACTAGCACTATTATTTCTTTGATCCAATGACTTTTATGAACTCAAATACTTGGAATCATGATGTTAGACCTCCATAATCGAAGATAATGTCGTGAGGAGTTTGTAATAATTTTAGGTGTATTTTTATGATGTTTAATTAATTTTTTATGAATTATATAAAATAAAAACACATAAAATTTAAAAAGGACACGTGACGCATTCATATAAGGACATCTGGCCGAAACACAGACGACGCCCCATTAAGCTTCTGCCACGTGGTGCCATATACTATTTAATATTATTTTTCTATGATTTAACTTATTAAAATCATAAAAACTAAATTAAAATCCAAAAATTAAACTGCTACCCAAATGTTATAACTTACATGTTTAAGGATCCTATTTATAAAGGCATGGTACCCTCATATACAAAACATTATAACATATGTCCTTAAGCTTGTAAACCCTCATGTTTACTAGCTTAAGGACCCCATTATACATATCCAAAGTCCACATTTACACATTCCTTGTTATGTCGATCCATATCCTTATAAAAATGGTATTTACAATATTATGGATTGGATGAACCATAAGCTTGTACTCTCGATGCAAACACTTGTAAGTCGTTACCAAAATCTTGTAACTTACAATCTTAGAGATGCTCTTTACACCGTTATGGTACCCTCATATCAAAAACAATATAACATGTGTCCTTAAGCTTATAAACCCTCATATTTACTAGAATAAAGACTCAATTTTAAATTTGCAATCTATGCATTGAACCATCCCTTGTAATATGGATCCATATCTTTGTAAAAATGGGATTTACAACATTATGGATTGGATCAACTCTAAAGTTATAATCTTGATGCAAAAACTTATAAGTTGTTAACCAAATCTTGTAACTTAGAACTTTTAGGATCCTCTTTACAACATTATGGTGTCCTCGTATAAAAAAACATAGTAACAGGAGTCCTTAAGCTTGTAAACCCTCATATTTACTAGAATAAGGACCCAATTTTACATCTCCAAGGTCCACATTTACCAATTCCTTGTAATATGGACACATATCCTTGTAAATATGAGATTTACAAAGTTATGGATTGCATGAACCCAAATATTGTAATACATGTGCCAAAACTTGTAAATGGTTACCCAAATCTTGTAACCTACAAGTTTAGGGAGCCTCTTTACAACGTTATGGTACCCTCGTATCCAAAACATTTTAACAAAGGTTCTAAAACTTGTAACCCCTCATATTTACTAGAATAAGGACCCAATTTTACATCTCCATGTCCACATTTACCAATTCCTTATAATGTGGACACATATCCTTGTAAATATGAGATTTACAAAGTTATGGATCGCAGGAACCCAAACGTTGTAATACATGTGCCAAAACTTGTAAATGATTACCCAAATCTTGTAACCTACAAGTTTTGGGAGCCTCTTTACAATGTTATGGTATCCTCGTATCCAAAAT